CAACAGTCACTCGCTTCGGCAACGCAATCTCAGCTGCCGCCGCAGTCTTCCTCAGCACCATGGGTGCCACTGACGAGGTTCGCGAGAAGAGCAACGCTGGGCAAACGACCAAGAAACGGAAGCGCACGACGCAATTCGACGAGGAGACGATGGCCTATGGCGAGTCGCCGCCGCCGGGCAAGAAGGTAAGAATCTATGAGCGTGGCGCAACTAAGCAGAGAAGGAATGGTGCTGCATCGTCTAAGACGGCCGCTAGAGCGAGAAATAGCGACGCAAAAAGTAAGATTAAGTTCTCGAACGCGACGAATTCGTCTAAAGGCACTGCCGTAATCTTCGGGCCTGGCAATCCGACCTTCTCTGGCAACGAGACGTTGCATCTGAACGCTGAACTCACATTCAACAACCTCCTGAACGAATCGCCTACCCCAGCAACTGGCCGTGCCCACGCTTATAAGCCATTCGACTTCGACCCCATCACGAATCCTTCCGGCGTCAAACCAAGAGAAAGCACTCACTACGACGATCAAGGTCTGGTGTACGTCCTCAACACAGCCCACAACACAACGCAAACCTGGTTTTCCAAGAGCTTACTGCGAAAGTACAACGGCTTCGACATTCGCTATCACATTAAGCAGCATAGTTGCGTCGGCAATCCGGCGATTGTTCGAGATGATGATGGGGGGCTCTGGTATCTTGCTTATGGCGGTGTGCAGGCGCTTTGGGGTGCGAAAGGTGGAATAGTAGTGGGTCCCAGCGGGAACGCAAACTTGAAGCACCATGATCCGCAGCACAGCACCTACATCAATAAGGAGCTGGTCAAACATGACCCGTTGAGGAATGGGAAATACGTCGATCGAGCGCCTCTGATGCTGATCAAGTCACCTAGGCCGCCGCAAAAGAGATATGTTGCTGGTTCGGGAGCGGAGGCTCGGGAGCTGGTCCACGGCATCCAGGCTTCGCTGTTCACACCGTTTCTTGATTCGGCGAGGACTGAGGTCAGAGGACGTGGAGCGCCTCTTCGGGTGACCCAGAAGGCGTGAAGGCGGTGCACTTAGTTTCGTACGTTTGAAGTGCAAACAGGCTGCTGGAGACAACAGAAGGGATGCGGAGGTCTTTCTGAGTTGACACAAAGGCACAAGGGCGGTGCAGTCGGTTTGGTACGTATGGGGCGTGCGCCGGCCTTCGGAAATGGCAGAATTACTCGAGCTTCCTCACTCGAAACATGACCTACGGATCGAGCACAAACGGATTGGCAGTGGAAGTATGAACGTCATTGGATGCTCTTGCCAGGCTCAAGCGAGCACAGAATACACAAAAGTACCTATAAACAGAGTCCTCGAGCTCCGTCTCCCCACCACGCCATGCTACAGCGTAGCAGCAGAGGCGTTGCGTCGATGCTTCGCTTTACCCGAGCTCGAAGTCTCGGGCGGCTCAAGCAATTTCCTCTTACTACAATCCATAAACAATTCATCCCAATCACCCTTTTCTCGCACGGGGGCTTCGGACTGCACGCCACTGGCCCGGATGCCATTGACGACTTTACTGCCATCGTTCATCGCAGACGACGAGCCAATGCCATTCATATACTGCGGGCTGTAGTCGTCTTCCTGGCCGGTATCCATGTTTGTGGGTATTATGTTGCTTCCACCCAAACCGTTCGCGGCGTGCAGCCGTTGTGGTGCCCCGTTGCTGTAGATATCCCCATCATCGCCGTGATTTGTTGCGCCATTACTCCGTCGTGTCTCATTAGCGCCTTCTCAGCTCTGCTGTACTTCCTTCGCCTGCTGCATCGCTAGGTCGTTGTTCTCTGGTGCCTGGCGGTAGAGTACGATCTCGGATTGCTTGAAGTACCGTCTTGCGTCCTCGTCTATCAGCACTAGTGATAAGTAGTAGCGGGTGCTGAATTTCTTGTTCACGTCCCGGAATGTAGGCGTGAGGTCGAATCCACCTAGGAAGAGGCGGATTGGTATTGTTTCGCCTCGACTGGGTGAGCCGTCCATGATCTCGAAGCGGACCAAAGTTTCGGACTCGTTGTATTGATTTGGCGGAACACCGGTCGTTTCTCGCCGGATGATAGAGAGCTCCATATGTCGTATCTTCAGCCGTACAAGCAAAAAGTATATCCGGCCTACAATCACATCCTTGAGGTGGTACTTGCTCTTGCTGTACTCGAACTCGATGTGCAGGCAGTCTTCTATCCCGACATCCATCTTGATCACACTATTGCTCTCTGGCGGTTGGCGGTAGGAATAGACCCACAAATCCTTCTCGCGGACCACGTCGGCCATGCGGCGGGAGACAGTGACGCGGAGAAAGTAGCGGAGCTTGACGTTGATGCCGTGGTAGGACTCATACTGCTTCTCCACGTTCTTGAAGGCGAAGGGAAGCGTGACGGGATGCTGGAGTTCGCCAGGTGATGCAAGCTCGGTTTGAAGGGAGAGGAACTCGTGGTGCGTGCCGCGGTCGAAGAACATTTCTATCGTGCCCACGAATTGGACCTTGATACCCGTGTGCTCCAGACGTTTGCCATCTTTCGGCCGGATTGTCACGGCGCCTTTGACTGTCTCGCCATCGAGATAAAGTGGTGCCTTCTCCCGGCGGTTCTTGTCGAGCTTGACGTCTACGGTCTGTCGGTCGTCGGTGTCCTGGAGTACGATGTCGATGTCTAGCGGAGTACCGAAGGAGAAGAGCGACATCGTGAGGGATGTGAAGGCCGGAGTACGCTCACCGGCGCATGTTCATGTTCTGTGTTGTCTTGCGGACTTTCGGGGAAGGCAGCCGGATTGATGTTGCTGACTAAGGCGCGCAAGCGACGGCGATGTTGACTTCACTCCCTTCGAGACATCACGGCTCTGAACATCGAACAGTATCAACGACGGGGTCGGCTTTGGACCTTCGAGCATACAGATCGTTCTGACGACATGCCAGACTACGAACCTAATGCAAGTCTTGGCGGTCTCCACGCCCTGTAGCTTCCTTTCTAGACTTCGCCACCTACATGAGTCGCGCAGTATCAACGTCTCCATAACACCACTTAGAACGAATCAAGCGTCACGAACCGGTTTACTAGACGATCCATTGTAAAAGGGCGTGTGTGAGATCGTATATATACACGTCGTCCCTTCCTCTTTTTCGTCTCCCAATACCACATCGAACCATTCGACCTCAAACCCCGTTTGCACAACCCCCAAAAAGTCACAACCTCGATCATGGCCTTCACAACCGCTTCCAACATTCCCTGGACCCGCGTCAAGGCTTTGTCCTTCGATATCTTCGGCACACTGGTCGATTGGGAAGGGTAGGACTTTATACTGTGCCTCATACACAGGCAAGCAACGCTAACATGACTTCATAGCGGCATCGATGACTCCATGCGTGCCACCGCCCTCGGTCCCTATCTTCCAAAAGACCGACAACAACGTATGCTCGACATCGAACGCCACGACACAGCCATCCAGCGTGACAACCAAACCATGCTTCAGCGCGATATCATTGCTGAGGGCCTACGTCGCTATGCCGCTGAATTGAAAATCGTCGATAATGGCCATCTGACTCAGGACCAAGTCGAGGAGGCCTGCAAACAGTACGGAGGCCGGATAGGCAGCTATCCAGCATTCCCGGACACGATAGACGCCATCAACCGTCTCGGCAAACACTACAAGCTCATTCCCTTAACGAACGTCGATAACCAGTCCTTCGACGACACGCTCTCCGGACCTTTATCCGGCTGCCGCAAATCTTTCTCCGCAGTTTACACGGCCGAAGATATCGGGAGTTACAAGCCTTCTCAGAAGAACTTTGACTACCTGCTTGATCACCTCAAGTCTGACTTTGGGATCGAGAAGGGCGATTTGGTGCATGTCGCTCAGTCTTTGTTCCACGATCATGGTCCGGCGACGAAGAACCAGTTGATGAGTGTTTGGGTTGATCGGGGAGGCGATATGGGAGGGGAGATTGAGGGTGCGCAGGAGAAGTTTGGGTTTCAGATGAGGGTGCAGACTTTGGGGGAGTTGGCTGAGATTGTTGATGCTGCTTTTGGGTCAACGTAGCTACGTTTGCGTTTCGGGATCAGACTATGTAGTAACGCCATCGAACGAGTTTACAGGCGTTTTAAACACTTGCCATATTGAGCAACGAGTTCATCGCAATGCAGAGCAAGCGGGACGGCAAAAGGTTTGGAGGCCGGAGTCGAACAGGCATCACATACCACGGCGGCGACGTGAGTTAATTACGCGAGGTTGGCACAAGGCCGCTGCACGACGTAGCAGTATCTTTCCGTTAAGACCACATCCCCGTTAGGTTTGCTAGGACGACTATCGAGACCACCAGCCCAAGGGTATATTACAGCACAATTTGTTGACAACAATTACAGTCACTGTTGGCGACGTCCGCGGATGAGCCGACTTGAAAAATGCGAACGTCAGAGTAATGGCCTATGATGTATCATTTAGCAGGTTCGATTAATGGCTGCGATAACAGCAAAAAGAACAATTTCGATGCGAGGATAGCCGGAGTCGAAACAAGCATCGCCGCTAGATGTCGGATCTCGAAGTCAAAGACAGCATCTTACCATCCCATCAAGACCACATCCTCGAGTTTGGAGACTGCCTGGAGTCGCGCCCAGCATTACGTTGCTATCTCCCTGGACTTCTGCTAAACAAATAGAGTAGTATCGTTGTTCCGGACTGTTAATTACAACGCCATAAGTGTAAGGCGAGTGCGCCGCAAAAAATTTGGAGAAGGCCGGAGTCGAACAGGCATCACTACGCTTTCTTAAGTGACTTGGATCACCGAGATGGTAGTATCTTTCCGTTGGACCACATCCACCTTTCTGACTGCTAGCTGATGTTGCAAACCACCCGGTTACAACGTCTTCGTCTACAGAGGTGTGATAGAGCAAGATAAAGCTGCCGCCACAACTTCCGCCGTGGAAGTGCCGACTCAGAACCTATGAACAGTCTTTCCTAGCCAACGCGAGCTAGGCAAGTGGCAAAAGTAATTGGAGAAGGCCGGAGTCGAACAGGCATCACTAGATACCAAGCCGCTACGAGCTTTCGCCTGCATCGACTTGGAACCCAGTATCTTTCCATTGGACCACATCCCCTGTCGCTAGTGTAGACCACTCTGCTACAACGTCTTGATTGGCGACTGAGCAGGTGAATGAGCGTAGAAATCGCCGCCGCGTACTCAACCGTGGATGCGCCGAGTCGCGATACATTGTAACACCGATCTACTCCGAACAAACCAGGTAATTTGGTACCTTTGTGGAGGTCCGAGTACGTCGAGGGATGCCAAAAAGTATTGGAGAAGGCCGGAGTCGAACAGGCATCACTGCATTTTCTCTGATGTGCAGGACGGTAGTCAAGCACGAGGAGCAGTATCTTTCCGTTGGACCACATCCCCTACATTCGGCCAGCTTGATGTTGAAACCACCAAGCTTCAACGCCTTAATACGAGGTAGTGCGGTGGACTGAAGTCCAGGTGCTGTAGTGGTGCGAACCGCAGATGAGCCGTAGTAGGACGCCTGTAGCACTAGAACACGACAGCTAGTCACTTGCCAGTCCATGGATGAAGCTTGGCCAAAAGAACGAAGCCGATATTGGAGATGGCCGGGAGTCGAACCCAGCATCACTGTAGGCCGCTAAGGGCTTGTACAGTATCTTACCGTTGAGACCACATCCCCTGTTGTTTGTTGGTTGACTCGGCTTTTGCAGGCCACTAAGCTACAACGTCTTGATATGCTGAGATGTGATGAAGTGAAGTCAAGATGCTGAGGTGGTGTGAGGCGTAGATGAGCCAGGCCAGTGGTGAAATTGGTCGGAGACGATGTCCTTCGCGTCCGAGGTTGTGAGGTGCGGAATGACTTCCCGTTAATTTGTATGGTAACACAGCCATGATGTTCGAGTAGTGGTTATAGCTTAGTCAGTGTACCGTACATCCATGGCCAACCTCATAAGCAATCATCAATAGGTTACAACCCAAACAAATGGTATACCCACCGTACCCCAAACACCTAGAACACCTCCCACCCCTCATCAATCCCACCAACCACCTCCTCCCGCCTCACTTCGCTCCCCTCAACCCCCTCCCCACCCACCATGCTATATGAGGCGCCCGTCTACAAGACCCCCTTAACAGCACCTAACGCCCACCTCTGCACTTCCTTCGCCTCTCCCCCCGCATCAACCGAAAGCACATCCCCCCTCCTCCCCTCCCCTCCCTCACCCCTCACAACCCCCACCTCATCCAACTCATCCCGCTGCGGCGCCTCCAACGACTGAAACTGGGAGTGAACCATGTAGTCCTTCATATAATGATTCTGCCGTGCGCGGACACGATCCATGAGGACTGATTCCGAGGCGGAGAGGAAAACGAAGTGGATGCTGATGTTTGGGTTGTGGTAGGCGGCTACGCGGAGGACGTCGCGGTATTTTCTTTTTAGGGCGGAGCAGGTCAGGATGACGCCGTTGGGGGTGGGTTGGCTGGGGCGTCTTGAGGAGGGGTTTTCGGTCTTTGTCGTGGCCGTTGTGGTTGCGGAGGTGGTTGAGGTGGTTGTTGAGGGGGGAGGGGGGGTTGGGTTGTGCAGGGTTGACAAGCATTGTTCGCGGCAGAGGATGAGCCAGTCCCATCTATCGGCGTCGGTTAGGGGTTGGCCTTGGGACATTTTCTGGACGTTTTCGGGGGTGTGGAACTAAATATCCCATCGTATCAGAGTCAGCTTGATGTGTAGGGTTTGGGGGGTTTGTGACAGGACGTACGGTATCGCCTTCCAGATACGGGATCTGGAGTTGTTGGTGCAGGTACTCTGCTACGCTGGTTTTGCCGCAGCCTGCGGGGCCGGTGATGACCCAGATGTGTTTTTGTTGCGGTTGGGAGGAGGGATGGGGGGTGCCATTGGAGGTGGGGGGTTGGTGCGTAATGGCTTCGGTTGACATTCTTGCGTAGTTGATCAGGTGAGCTGTTATGGATGATGATGCAGGGTATGGGTATCGGGACGTATGTGTTCAAGGTAATGTAAGGAGAGGAGTTGGGTTGGAGTTGGAAAAAAGATATACTGTCCTCTGTTGACGATGAGGTGCTGTCAAGAGCCGACCGGGATGCCGTGTATCGTATACACTCGGTAGGTCTTCCTATTGCTCGAAGCTGCAGGTACGGCATGCCGCGAGTGACGTTGGTGGTGCCGGCGTTTGATGGGAGAAGCAAAGGCCGACTGTCGGCCTGGTATACCGGGACGGAGAAGGTGTATGTTGTAATAAAACTACTTCCAGCTGTTAACACGTCCATACCTTACGCATCTCTGCCATCGATGGAGTTTCGGACGCCGAAGAGCGAAGCGTCGCTGTCTTGGTTGGAAAAGATGACATAGCTTAACCCGCTCGTACCCGCGATATCACCTCGGCTTAGCAGCACCTGCAGTAAACATTCCTCCCAAGAAATCCTTCTCACTTCGTATACAAGATGAAGTAGTACACTCCCATCGCACTTCCTGTGCGTAACCCAAGTACACCATGGCTATTTCCAAAACCACCCTCCTCCGCGCCCTCCGCTCCACCACCCCCAGACACACCCCCTCCCATCCTCTACGTCGAGCCCTCCACTCCTCCCCCAGATACGCCATCATAAAATCCTTCCCCCTAGCCGACATAGGCGAAGGCATAACCGAATGCCAACTAATCCAATGGTTCGTCCAACCCGGCGCGAGGGTCCAGCAATTCGACAAATTATGCGAAGTCCAGAGTGACAAAGCTAGTGTGGAGATCACGTCTCCGTATGAGGGAGTGGTTACTAAGTTACATTATGAGCCGGATGAGATGGCTGTTACGGGGAGGGCGTTGGTGGATATGGATGTTGATGAGGATGAGGTTGGTGGTGGAGGGATGGGGGGGGGAGGGGTTTGTGACGAGGTAAGGGTTGAGGGAGCGACGGGTGTGAATGTGGAGGGTAAAGGAGGGGAGGAAAAGGGTGGGGAGTGGAAGAGGGAAGGCAGGCGGAGCGGGAAACAAGATCATAGTTCCCTTGCTACGCCCGCTGTTCGACATCTGACAAAAGAGTTGAAAGTCTCCATCACAGACGTGCAAGGCACAGGGAAAGACGGCCGGGTACTGAAGGAAGACGTGCACCGGCATGTCCAGTCACAACAGAATCCACCATCTACCTCTCAACCACAACCCGCAGCATCACAGCCACAACCTACATCTCCCGGCAGAGCCGACAGGACTGTCCCCTTGTCCCCCATCCAAACGCAAATGTTCCGCACAATGACCCGCTCCCTCGCCATCCCCCACTTCCTCTACACAACCACCGTGGACATTACATCCCTGACCGCTCTGCGCCAAAAACTCAACACTTCCTCCGCCGCGGCCACAGGGGAACCGAAACTCACGCAGTTACCGTTCATACTCAAAGCCGTATCCCTGGCTTTCCAACACCATCCTTTACTCAATACATCGCTGCACACTAAAGGAGAGGACGGGAGTAAACCGGAGTTAACGTACCAATCAGCGCACAACTTCGGCGTGGCGATCGATACGTCGAGTGGACTTGTCGTGCCTGTTATAAGGGATGTGCAGGACTTAAACATCCTGGAAATCGCAGGGCAGTTGAAACAGCTCTCCTCTAAGGCCCGAGAGAACAAACTCTCCCCCTCCGATTTCTCGGGAGCAACTTTCACGGTCTCAAATATCGGTAATATCGGCGGCCTTGTCGTTGCGCCGGTGATTAGTGCGCCGCAAGTCGCTATCCTGGGAATTGGGAGGAGTAGGATTGTTCCGGCGTTTGGGCCGGATGGAGGGATTGTGAAGAGGGAGGAGGTGGTGTTTAGTTGGAGTGCGGATCATAGGGTTGTGGATGGAGCGGAGTGCGCGAGGTGCGCGGAGAGGGTTAGGGGGATGTTGGAGGAGGTGGGGGGGATGTTGACTGGGATGAGATGATTGAGGCTTGTGATGATGAGGCTTCAATGTTGCGATGATGGGGATCTGGGTCTTGAAGGTATGAGGAGAAGGGGCTTGGATGGCATGGGGTGGTTTGCGGAGTGCTGCGTTACCTGAAGTAAATGCCTGCGTGTCGCGCGAGAGAGAGAGAGAGAGTTATACGCGAGCTTGTGATTGTGATGCGGAGAGGGAGATCGTAGAAAAGCTGCTGTGGCTACCGAGACGGTCCTGGTTTTACAAGCATGCAGCCATCCGCTCGCTTCCGCCGGGGTTGTTGGGGGTGCGTAGCAGTATTGGGGTTCCGGGGATGGATGAGTTGGCGCCGCCGCACAGAGAGAAGTCAGGAGAGATTGGACGAAGAGCGGCAGGACGGGATGTCAGTAGGGACGAGAACTTGAGGAGCTCCATCAAGCACAGTACCGAGTTCACATGATTTGTCTCGTAACTCGTTCTCCAGACGACGTGGAATGGTCGTCTACAGCAGCCGAATGTGGCAGATTGCGCGGAGAACGTAAGGCAGACCAAGGCTCGGAAAGAGGGTCGTGGGTATGAATGGATGAGATGAACGAAATCCATTGAGATCTGTCGCCTCTCTTTTCCTTGCCGAAAGATTCATTTGGTTGTCTTCAATCCAAGCTTTGGTCAGAATTACCTGGATCAAATCTTTCTACAAATGCTTCCCTGGATTCTTACCGGAAGGAAAGCGGCATTGTACGACTACGCAAGGTCATGGACCGGCATCCAACGAGCATGGACTCCTGACCTCCTAGGACCCTTGGCGATCAGCACAATTGAACTCGAATGGTCATCAATAACCTGCGGCGATAGTACGGCTTTGCGGTCACACTTAAATGGGTATCCGAGTCGCTGTGCAAGTTTACCACCACGCCACAGTATACCCTCCCGCTTTAGGATGCTGGGGTGTGGTGCTTTTGTTCGTTTTTTTGCACCGTGGCTGCTGCTGCCATTGTAACGGCTTGCTGCAAATCAGCCCGGAAATGCGTCCTGGCGCGAAACTGGATCTTGCTACGGGTTATTCACAGCGAGAACATCGAGATGTCCGCCAATGGGTTAGGTACTATTGTCTGGATATACCCAAGGAGAAGACGATCTCGAACTGTGCAACTATATTCTCGTGCGGAGGGCCACAAGACGCATGGGAGATGTGCTGACCTCTCCGTTATTGACCGGCCGCACGAATGGACTCGAATGGTCATCCGGCCATATACCGGCCATATGAACAAGACTTTATGATTATTTGGACTGAGGTGCGATGTTATCACATCACAGCATCCCATCTCTCGCTTTAGGGACGTTGTGGTGTGACGTTTTTCACTTTTTGGAATGTCGACAATGGGCGCTCTGGTATATGGCTCTCGCCTCTCGGGATCTTAATCTGTGATCGAGATCACTTGGACCACTCAACACCAGAAATGCTGCCACGTATTGACTCCTTTTGTCTGGACCTTGCAA